CAATACTTAATGAGAATAGCAAATATACGTTTGCTTCATCTAGAATCCCACCAAAGAATATGATATGGCAAAAAGACCTGGCTTTCCTTGAAAATTCACATTTGCCCTGTGACCCAAAAGGCACTCGTGGCAGTGTAGCCAAGTGGTTAGTGTGTCAAGTTCCCATCCTGCACTGTCGCGGTTCCACTCCCGCTAAGGGTTTCGATAAGACCGATGCGAGGTCGAAACTGCAGTCCCCTGAGCCTGGATGAGAACAACTTTTGGGAGAGCAAGGCTATGTGAAATTCAATGAAAACGTCAGCTCAACTCACATCATTGTGGGAGAATTCTTCTTCTACCAGTCCTTCATCACCTTAAACGAAATCGGGTGAATACATCTCATAGTAGTAAGGATTCTTTTGGCGTGGTGGTTGTCAACTTGAGCATATTAATTCCCGACAAATCTGCGTTGAGGTTTTGTCTGTCCTTCAGCCTTTATTCGAAGGCACCTTAGCACAAAGTTGGCTAAATCATACTACATTCTTTGCAGTCTCTCCGTAAAAATAATCTGGTTGCTAAAACAAAGTAAATGACAAGAACCGATAATTAATTTCGATGAATATCCTAATCTGTTATAGTTGAATTCACTTCCATTTCACGTGAAAGTGCGTGATGAAGAAATTGGTAGATCAGTCTCTTCATAAGACGGCGGTGATTCCGCCCTGGCCTACCTCAGCTTGTTTTGATTGGACTGTTCAGTTTGACGCGGTATCAAATACACCTTTCTTCGGTTAGGCTAAAACGTGCCAGATTTTCATCTTTTATGCCACTTGACTGACATCATCAGACCAGTAATGCATTATCGCGGCCACTTTAAGTTTGCATTGAGTCCAGAAACTAACAGGCGCATCTATAACCGTTTTATATAGACATAAAAATTGTAATCTACAGAGGAACAAAGGGATTTTGTTTGGCCAAGCTTACACTTGTATGCAGATATGTATGTTTGCGTGTACAGGAATGAAAACCCAGTGAGCACTCCCTGTAGTTAGAATAAAGAGCAATATCTGGACCAGATAATCAGGGCTTAATGAACTTTTCGCTACATTTGACCTGGGTCAGCACATCCCTACGATTGTGTAAAATACTGAGCGCACTTCTGCTTGTGTCGACGTGCTTTCTGGACTACATAATGAAAATCATCATCCTTTTGAAATCAGGTGTGTTTAAGGTATGATTTTAATTAGAATCATAATCAGAGACTAGTTAAAATGCCTTCCTTAGGAAAGGGGCTCATTGCTGACTCCATCCTTAAGTCTATCAATCAAGCCCACGAAGTTCTGACCAAATTTCCCTCTCATATTATTTATATTTAGTGTTTACCTCAATCTTTAATTTCGATTGGCTCTCTAACCTTAAGCTTTACATTAGACTTAATATAATGAGGTTAATTTACCTCCCGCCCAACTTCTGCTATGAGCTCAGCCCCTTATGACTCTTGTGTGCAAAATCTTCTACATACGCTTCTGTGTTCAGCTACCCTCTGATAAATTGTGTGACTGGTCTTCCCATTAGCACAATATTTTGGAGAAACCTGATGTAGATCAAGGATCGAAACTTTCTCCTTAAAATGGGGAATACTAGAATAAACTGCCAGACTCTCTTTGTGAAGGTTGCCTTGAGAGAAAATCTAGAATAAGATCAGCACTTGACGGTTTCCTAAAAAATCCTCACCTAACACAGCTCCTTCTTTAATCACAAAAAAAATCTGAACTAGTGAGCTGCCATCGTTCTCCAATTCGAATAAGAAATTGCTATTAATGTAACACTTGGCAATGTAAACTGGCAAGTTATCTAGGCTTATCCTAACGTTTCGCCAAATGGCAAAATGATCGTCCATATATTAAATCGTCATTTTGGGGTTAAAACTATCTTCTTCACTAACCAGTCCTCGAATATATAAATATTTTTGTTGAATAAATTAAGAGTTTACCTAGATCTTATTGCCATTCCTTGTAAATTTTCGTAAAAATTTGTAGCATAGGTTAAATATTAGCTATTCATGGAATGGTAAAGCTGGCCAAGGCTATGTTTTAACTTCTTCCATAAATTCTGGGTTCCCCAAAAGTTTTGATGTCGTCTATCGAAAAATCGTTCATGTGAAATCTTTTGCATTTACTCTTTGGTATTACTAACTTTCAATCTTAAAGGCACTTACTACTTGAGTATTTAGGAAAGTCAATAAACAATTGGTACCTTAGCATTTTCCCTTTCTCCATTTCTCGATCTCATACACATGTTAGAAAATTTCAAGAATAGCAATATGTACAAATACTCCAACTGAGGATCTTAAAACGAGGCTTGAGGATGTCCTTAAAGTATGGGAATGCATTGAGGAATCTGAGGAGGTTAAAATTAATGCACTTCTTCCCAATCTTACTGATGAACCAACAGAGTATGTACTTCCAAATATAAGCAAGGAGAGGATTCCTCTCTGAGTAACAATTGTTAGCAAGGGTAGTTTAATGTATAATAGTCTCCCTCTCCTATGATGACAACTAGGAATAGAGGCTGATTATTGGGTATACTCCGTCAGAACTTTGTAAACTTTTGCAAATTTGGTTACTCAAAGTATTTTAGAGTAAACTGTATTAGTAAGCTTCTATGTGATATCACTGTATGCTAACATTCGAGCTATAGCGTTCAATTTCGAGGGACACTCATGGGTTATAGAGGACTTCTGTTTTTATGCAATTTATTCATTCCATCGGAAGCAATGTGGGTGCCTCGAGGACGGCATCCATTTGAACGTCTCAATAAAACTAGATCACAGCAGTCCGAGGGAATTCGCCGTCATATTCTTTTTGAGATTAATCTAAGAATTTCTTCAATATTTACTTGCAACCGAAATCAAACTAGCCCAATAAAGAAAATCACGCTCCAATACAGAACTACAGCATATTGCCTCCAAGTCTGAAAATGTATCTTGTTGGGGTAGGTGCATAAAAATTTGGTTTCGAAGACTTTAGGCACACAGAGATGATAAAGGTGTATAGTATAGCACAGCCAATTATAAGTTCGAAGAACATTTAAATGATGAGTTCATGTTTTACCTCTTAATGGTAAATAATATAAACAAATCTTTGGTCCATCAATAAGATCGCGCTTGTCCCCAATGCTAGTGAATAATTTAATGAGGAATTTCTATTTCCGAAGTTGTGTGTTAGATATGCGGATGAATAATTGTCTAATTGTCAACATGGCAAAAATTCTGTAGGAAGTCCTTAAAGTATTAACTAGAATAGACGAGATGACTGAATTCATAGGCAGGTAGATTACCCATTATTGGGTATCCTAGCTAGTTGGTTATAAAAGAACAAATTGGTAAGTGATATATATAGGAAGCCTAAAAATGCAAGTTTCTTACTTGATTTCTTGAAATCCCTACTTACCTGGTTGAATCAGGTGTTGTGAAATCAATGTTACTAAGAAATCTTTCTGCCTGAAGTAAATTACAGGATTCAAAAGCCAGAAAAGTCGAGAAAGTTTATAGTTCGAAAGAATTATCCATTATATTTAATTGACGATCATTTCACAACACAAGTAGAATCTCGCTATAATCAAGCTTTTGAGACTGCACATGTTATTTCGCATTAATGAAATTTCGTTATACTGGATAGATAAAAAATTATTTTTATTGCAAAAAACGGTCAAAATGAAAGATATTTTGAAAGTTTTGGTTATACAGTATTCGTCATACCGAGATTTGATGTATACTAAAAATATGATCAGCGGAAATAACTATTTACTGAAAGGGAGGTGAAAAATTCTTCAAAAAAGACAGGTGAACTACTGAGGAAATGGGACATTATAACCATTATTTCCAGAGAGACCAACACTTCCCTCGTTGTGCCTTGCTGCCGAGAATTTTGAACTAGCATACTAGTTTCTGGGTCGAGAAGGCCAGTCTGTCCAGATGGCTCGAAAATGTTGATGGGTATTGAAATTAGAAGTAGCTGAAGATATAAATGGCACAAGATCCCATATAGATTGTTCTGAACCCCGAAGCTTTGCACTATCTCGGGGCCTCGGAGGTAAGAGGAAGATGAAAGTGTCACTAGAAATGAACGCATCAAAAACTCTCTTAAATAGGAGGAATGAGTTCATGAATGTAATCGGATAGAATTATGGAAGGGAGCAGGACGAGCCACTAAGCACGAAGAAGAGGCTTGGGTAGCCTGAGTCTGGTTTGGGCTCGAACATCTTAATGTGAATTGGATAAGCACAGCGTGTGTAAAACCACACACGTAAACAGAACAGGATTAAACTCTAGTTGATTTGTGTAAGTAGACAAATGTGACCATATCCTCGCCCTTTTCATGTATGATTTTCTCTCATCTCTAAGCTTGGTTGGTGAGCATGCATTGGCCAGTCTGAGCATAGAAGCCCTTCAAAGGATCCCAAAATTCGGTATAATGAGTAGCTATGATTACAACTGGTCTCCTTTCCTAGTTCACTGTTTTAAAGAATCTTCGTAAATGATGATTTCCGGCTCTGATGCTGTCTGTAACCATGGGAATGGCGAAGGTTCAGCGTCGTCGGAGGGTGCGCCAATGGCTGCTTTTCATAAATTAAACCGCAATCTTCCTTCAGTCCCCGATATGGTGAAGGTGCCAAAGTCTCTTCACCCGATCTTTTAGACAAAACGAAAGTTCAACAACATTCTCGCATCAGTGCTCTTGTAGCTCTTCACTTGAACACACTTGGAAAATGCATTCGCAAATAAGCTACAACTGACACTTTTACTTTCCTGCTTATCGCCTTGAGCAAGTTATGCCCTGGCACAATGTTCTCCGGCCCCGCGTTATGATCAACAATTTATGACGGAATAATGCCCTCTCACCTCGCATTTCCTCTCGTCATGCCAACTTGTTGTTTCACCCAGTAGACTCTGCTTACGTCATCCAATGCTTCTCATCATCTGACGCTTTACAGTATTGGTGCAGCAATTCTATTTTAATTTAACTCTTCAGCCCAACGACGGATGGCCTCATACAATTGGTCTCTGGTTCAGTTGTGGAGGTTAAGCATTGCATGGAGGGCAGGTAGTGCTGCCGAAATAGGCCATAACTCGTTGGCGAACACTTGACTAGCTTGGACAGCTTGGGCCCAGTGACCAGAGCCGGCGGTATCATAAACAGTTCAAGCTTCTCCGGACCGCTTGCTCTCGAGGACATAAAAGGTCACCTGTGACGTGAGCCAACCAGACCATAACTGGACGCTTTTGTATCATTAACCCATGGGTTTCTGTGGTATCTGCATTCCGCATCACGTTTCAAGTGAGCACAGTGTTCCAGCGATGTCTATTTGGGCATCCTGCGACTAGAATAAATAAACAAACCAACCCATTCCAGTGAAAAAACCTGTCTCGGCCTTCGGGGCAACTTTGAGTGTGTACTTGAAAGTGTCTTGATAATTGCCTCGAGGGCAACTCCCATGCAGACAGACAGAAAAGTTGATGGGAAAAATGAAAGTCAGTTCTAATTAGCTGGCGGCCCTTCGATGCCTAAGCCGAAGAAGAGAAATCGTGTAAATAAGTCAAATAAAGGCATAGGCCACACTTTACATTTCACTCTGTTAGCAGACGTTTTGGAATCACTTTCAGATGGTTATTCGAATTCCCCACAGTGCAATGAATAGACCTCGTGATACCATTGGACGTGGCGTGGTCTTTTCTCCCAAAAGGCTATCAACCTCGTTCGGGTCTCATACAGCAACCCCGCCGCACAGCCACAAGTGTGTCTTATTACCTGGGCAGATGCGACTTTAACGGCAAGCCAGGGCTCCTGCTAATAACGTTTATATTGGGTCTGTTGTCGCTAGGGCATTGCAATCTACATATATGATATGTTTTTTCGTTTATAAGTAGGCTTTCGAGACTACCAGTAGATTATATATATATATATATATATATATATATAAGATGAAAGAGTGATAGCTGAATTTTTTCCCAATGATATGAGTAGGCGTTACGTTTCCAATCAATTTCACACAGTCTTACTTTCTCAAAAGGTATTCTTATCCAGGTCGGAGTAGACTGCAGTTTCGACCTCGCCTGTATTGGTCTCATCAGCACCGGCAGCGGGAAATTTCAACTATCAGTCCTTCATCACCTTAAGCGAAATAGATTGAATACAACTCATATATATATGAACTAATGGTTGTCTCGAAAACCTTCTTATAAATGAAAAATTCCAATCTACAGCAAAAGTATGTACTGAGAGATTAGATTTCCTATATATCAGGAGTTAGTGACTGAGGACTGGAGTAATCCTAGATTATTTCTTGCAACAGTATCATGAAGCCTATTCATGTGATTGTGGAAAAAATCAGCTATCAGTTCCTAAATCACGTTAAGCGACCTAGGGGGACTAAGATACTACTCAATAATTACTACTATTATTTAAGTGCACCTTTCACCTCGACTTTGTCTTTGGCTCTTCCTTAGCAGGCCTCACAAATCTAGTTGAGATGGCGTCGACGTTGATATGCGATAGGCAATGAAACTAACAATAATTCTTGAATAGGAAATGCTGTCCAACTTGGATGGGAAAACCTTTTTGTGGGCAAGGCTAAGTGAAACTGCATGGTGTCGTGTGGTCTAATTATGTGATTGTGGTAAAAGTTCCGTTATCAATCCTTATATAGCCCTCTACCAGCTCTGGTAGAGAAGCTAATTCACCTAGGCGTTACGTTTCCAATGAATTCCACACAGTCTTACTTTCTTAAAAGGTATTCTCATCCCGGTCGGAGTAAACTGCCGTTTCGACCTCGCTTAAATTGGTCTCATCAGCACCGACAGCGAGAAATTTCAACTATCATTCCTTCATCACCTCAAACTAAATAGATTGAATACAACTCATATATTCTCTTCTACCAGCTCTGGTAGAGAAGCTATTTCAGTCCAAGCTGCAAGCCACTGAGGTCTCCAAAGGCAGTGAAGACCATTTGGTGGTGAAATCTCCTCTCGAGGGCGCTTGGGGCCGACTCAGTCCGTCTCAGAAGAGCAGAGGTTAACAAGACGAGGGGTAGCGTAGACAAGCATGTCACTTCAACGGCTGCAGATACTTGAACAGAGTGTTCACGAGCCTTCTGTGCTCTTGAGGTGGGGCGAAACAGCAGCTGGGGTTGCATGGGGCTGTCTTCCCGAGACAGAATGTTGATCTGGAGAAGCAAACTGCAGTTCTGCACACCGTTTTGGATTCCGACCAAATTTTCCCTCTCCCAAGTAGCCTATCATCCCAGTTGCGCCGACAACTGTGTTCTGGCTCTGCTTAGTTTGGTCGGACAGCATGGCTTCGAGATGTGCAGGTCTGTAGAATTTATTTGCGACTACGAAAATGTCTCGAGGATCCTGCCAGAATTCACTTTTACAT